CTATGTCACATGGCCCAGGGGAAGGACAGTTGTTTCTTGGGATTTCCGCTCAGCCCTGGGTGCTCAATGGGTCTTGTGTCTGCTCGGGGTGTGCAGGAAGTGGAAGGGGCCAGCACTGACCCGGAGTTCAGTCAGGAGGGCTAAGCTGAGGCAAGATAGGCTAGTGCTGGAGCCTTCCCCTCCCCCCCGCCCCTCCCCCTCCCCACCCCTCTCTCTCTCAAGGGACCTGGTCTCACTGAGTCCCACCAAATCCCTCCTCACATCACTCCTGTTCTGACCTCAAGTCTCAGGGGTGAAGATCTTCCTCACATATTTTTAGCCAACAGCCACTGATCTAAGGCCACGGCAGCCCAGAAGACGTTCCTAAGTTGGTCCCAGAGGCACATTTGAGGATTCCTGTGACTTTCTTTCCTCTGGTATTATTCTACGAATACTTGGTTGAATAAAAAGAAAGGAGAGTTGGGCACTAGTGGCTCATACCTAATCCTAGCTACTCAGGAAGCTGAGGCCTAGGATTATGGTTCAAAGCCAGACTGGGCAGGAAAGTCCATGAGACTCTTTCTAGTAAATGACAACAAAGCTGGAAGCAGAGTATGGCTCAAGTAGTAAAGTGCTAGCCTTGAGCACAAAACTCAGGGACAGCTCCCAAGCTCTGAGTTCAAGCCCTGGTCTGGCACAAAAAAACAAAAGGAGGGCTGGGAAGGTGGCTCAGTGGTAGAGTGCTTGCCTTGCATGCTCGAGGCCCTGGGTTCGATTCCTCAGCACCACATAAGCAAAAAGAAAAAAGCCGGAAGTGACGCTGTGGCTCAAGTGGTAGAGTGTTAGCCTTGAGCTGAAGAGCTGAGGGACAGCACCCAGGCCCAGAGTTCAGGCCCCATGACCGGACCCAAAAAAAAAAAAAAAAAAGAAATGCCCTGGAGTTTGGGAACTAGAGCTGGGGATGTGGCTTGTTGGTAGAGTGCTTGTCTAGCACCCATGAAGCCCTGGGTTCAATTCCTTAGTACACATAAATAGCTGGAAGTGGTGCTCTGGCTCAAATGGTAGAATGCTAGCCTTGAGCAAAAGAAGCTCAGGGACAGTGCCCAGGCCCTGAGTCCAAGCACCAACTGGCAAAAACAAAACAAAACACTAAAAGAGTTTGAGGATCAGAGAAAAGCACTCTCAAAACACTTCCCTGCCACCTTCTGGAAGACAGTGGAATAAATCAAATCTCAAGTAGAAAGCGGGGCATGGTGGTATACACCTAAATCCCAGCCTTTGGGAGGCTGAGGCAGGAAGGTCAAGAGTTCAAGGCCAGTCTGGACTACTTTGCATGATCTTGTATTAAAACAGTTTTAAAAACCTGCATTAGAGGCTAGGAATGTGGCTCAGTGGTAGAGTGCTTACCTAGCATGCATGAAACCCCAGTTCGATTCCTCAGTACCATATAAACAGAAAAGGCCAGAAGTGGCACTGTGGCTCAAGTGGTAGAGTGCTAGTCATGAGCAAAAGACGCTCAGGGACAGTGCCCAGGCCCTGAGTTCAAGCCCCAAGACGAGCAAAAAAAAAAAAAGCTACATTAGAATGGATGCTAGCGGTGCTGGCGCAATGCCTTTGACAGTGTGCAGTCTGCCCAACCCTACGGGCGCGTCCTCTTGCTTGTGGGGCCAGGCTGGAAGGTGATGGTCTTTCTCTCCTCTGCTCACAGTCAGATCCCATGCCGGTTCTTCCTGCAAAGGAATGGCCGGTGCCCCTTCCGGTCTGAATGCATCTACCTTCACCAGCAGCCAGCAGAAGCCCCAACCCCTCGTCCTTCCTGGTCCCTCAATATGCAACTGGCTTCTAGGAGCGAGGTAGGAACCATGGGGATGTGGGGCAGGCAAGGCCGCGTGTCCTGGTTTAATGTCCATTAAAACTTCAAAGCCTGGGGCTGGGAAGGTGGCTCAGTGGTAGAGCGCTTGCCTTGCATGCTGGAGGCCCTGGGTTCGATTCCTCAGCACCACATAAGCAAAAAGAAAAAAGCCGTAAGTGGCGCTGTGGCTCAAGTGGTAGAGCACTAGCCTTGAGCTGAAGAGCTGAGGGACAGCGCCCAGGCCCAGAGTTTAGGCCCCACGACAACCAGACAAAAACAAAAACAAAATTTCAAAGCTGTGTAAGGCTGGGCACAGATGGCTCACGTCTATAATCCTAGCCACTCAGGAGGTTGAGATCTGAGGATTGTAGTTTGAAGTCAGCTGAGGCAGGAAAGTCTGTGAGACTCTTATCTCCCATGAGCCACCAATAAGCAGGAAGTGGAGTTGTGGTTCAAGGGTAGAGCACTAGCCTTGAGTGAAAAAGTTCAGGGGCATCACCCAGGTCCTGAGTTCAAGCCCTGTATCAACACACACACACACACACACACACCCCTATGCATGACACAGGGGATGTAGGGTTGCTGTGCAGTGTCCAGCCTGCCCACCCTCACCTATGAGTCAGGAGCTCCTGTTCCTGGGGCAGCTGTGGCCATAGCCTTTTGTTTCGTGGGTTTTTCTCTCTACTTCCAGGTGCGGTACCCGGTGTTGGTCCTCTTAGCCAGCAAGCCAGGGGAGCTCCTGTTCCTCCCATTCTGTTCTCTTGCCCCAAGGGGAAGGGGTTCAGAACTCCGTGGCTTTCTGCGACCAGGATCCTCCTGAGGGAGCAGGGGCGAGGGGAGGGGGTTGCTAGGGAGTAGGTCTGCCCAGGGACTGGCAGGGGAGGGGCAGCTCTGTAGTGAAAGGGAGCCCCCCCCTGCTTGCCAGGACCTAATTTTTAAACCTTGTTCTTTTGTAGAAGGATTTTAAAAGAAAACCAATAAAATGCATCTAAGCTATGAAGGTGGTATCCGAAGAGGGATCTACTTGTAGCCCCACCCTACCCTGGCATTCATGCCCCCTTCCCCAGCCCACTAGCTCTCAGCCCCTCTTCCCCAACCACTCCTTTAATAACCAAAAGGCTGCCCTGGGAAGATGGACCTGCTTACCTGAGACAGAGAGTACTAGTGACTCAGGAGGCTGAGATCTGAGGATCAAGATTCAAAGTCAGCCCAGACAGAAAACTCCGGGAAGACTTTTATCTTCAATGAGCCAACAAAAAGCTGGAAGTAGAGGTGAGACTCAAGTGGTAGAGCTCCAGCCTTGTGTGAAAAAGCCAAGTGAGAGCTCAAGGCCCTGAGTTCAAGCTCTTAATATCCAGCAACAACAGCAACACACATGCACCTGAAATTTCTTTTCTTTTTTTTTTTTTTGGGGGGGGGTCTGGTCATGGGGCCTGAACTCTGGGCCTGGGCGCTGTTCCTCAGCTCTTCAGCTCAAGGCTAGCACTCTACCACTTGAGCCCCACTGCCACTTCCGGCTTTTTTCTTTTTGCTTATGTGGTGCTGAGGAATGGAACTCAGGGCCTCAGGCATGCAAGGCAAGCGCTCTACCACTGAGCCACATTCCCAGCCCCCTGAAATTTCTTTTTTACAAAGCAGGCACTATTTTTTTTCTGGTCCCAATGATTGAATTTTGGGCCTAGGCACTGTCCCAGAGTTTCTTTTGCTACCACTTGAGCCACAGCTCCACTTGGGCTTTTTCCATGATTTAATTGGAGATAAGAGTCTCAGACTTTTCCTTCCTGGGCTAACTTTGAACCACAATCCTCAGATCTCAGCCTCCTGAGTAGCTAGGATTACAGATGTGAACCAATGGCACCCAGCTAGGCACTATCTTAAGAAATATTTCTTCCTGCTTCCCAATAGCTTGAAATCATTTGGAAAAAAATTAGTGGCTCAAATAGAAATGAGATGGAGCTGACAATACTGTGTTCCTCTGGTTTCCTATACTACTCAGCTTGAAAGCCAAAGTCCTGTGACCTCTGATGCCCTATGATCCTTAATGCCCTGTGACCTCTGACGCCCTGTGACCTCTGATACCCTGTCCTCCAGCCACACCACAGCCCTAAGACCTTGGCCTTTGCTCTTAGCCTGAAATGGTTTCCTCCACCCTCCCTCCCCCCCATCCCAGGCTTCGGCTCAGCTAGCCTAACCACCATATATTTTACCATTATCTCACCTTAACCTCCCTTCCATACTGTATTTTTCTTGAAAGTTCTTATCACAATCAAATATTTGATTATTTCTCTCCCCCTACCCCCCCACTGTGTGTCAGCAACAGGGGCAATCATCTGTGTTTGCGCGGGGGCTGCGGGCAGGCCGGGGAGGGGGCGTGTGGGCGGGCAGGGTGCGGTGGAGCTGCGAGCTCCTCTCCCCTCCCTCCCTGTCCTCTGCACCGACCCCTCCTTTCCCGAGGAATGGGCTGTCCCGCGGGTTTTCCCGGAGCCCAGGGAAGCAAAGCCTCTCCTGCCCCCCCCCCAGCCCGTCCCCAAAAAACCAGCGCAAGGCTGGTCCTTGGTCTTTGGAAGAAGCTCCCAGGAAAAGGCTGTGGCCACCTCCAGGCCCTGGGGCAGAGATCCTCGGACATCAAGTTACATTTCTGGAGAGGACCGAACACTGACGGGGTTATCTGTTGTTGGCCTGTGGAAGAGATGTAAATAAACGGGATGGCAAACTGTGTCAATCTTACTGCAAAGCCACGATCTGCAGCTACAACCACAGACGCTTCGGGGTGCTGGGAAGGTGGTAGGGCGCTCGCCTCGAGCCGAAGAGCTGAGGGACAGCGCCCAGGCCCAGAGTTCAAGCCCCGCGACCGACCGACAAAAAAAAAAAAAAAAAAGACAGTTTGGGTTGAAAGTAAGGCAGGACCGCGGACAGACAGCACCGAGGGACCGACGGCGAAGACGCGCGGGGTGCCGCGCCGGGGACCCGCCCCTCCGGCCGGCCGCGCCCACTCGCCCTGGCCTGGCCCCGCCTCCGCCCGCCCCTCCGGCGCGTTCTCCTTGGTGAAGAGACCTTTAGCCCCGCCCTTCCGGTGTGCACCCTCGAGACCCCGCCCACGTCCCCGCCCCTTCACTGGCGCCCGCTGGGTCCGGCGCGGCGCGGCGCGGCGCTCGGAGGCGTCGGCGAAGCTCCCGCGGCTCTTCGCTCCCGCCAGCTTCGGAGCCGAGGCCCCAGCAGGACGGGGCGGCCGGGCTCGGACTGCAGCATGGCGACCCCGGACGGGGCGCCGGACCCCTGGGCGTCGCTGGAGGCTCCCGCCCGCCTGGTGCTGCGGGCGCTGCAGGCCGGGCCCGCGGGCGCGCGGCGCGGCCTGGGGGCGCTGCGGGCGCTGGGCCGCCGCGGCCCGGCCTCCTTCAGCTGGGGCCCCTTCCTGGAGGCGCTGTGCCACGAGGAGCCGGTGGTGCCCGCGCCCGGCGGCCGCCTGGAGCTGTAAGTCCTCGGCCCGCGGGAGCAGACGTCGGGGGGCCCGGGCGGGGCCTGCGTTAGGCACTCATTGTGTGCGGTCGTGTGGGCACCGGAGACACCGGGAGGCGCGCAAAGAAGCAACCTGAAAAGCAGTTAAATCTGTTTTGACCGCTTGCTTCCATCCCAGAAAATGTCCCTGGGCGCCCAGGGCTCACACCTGTCTCCTAGCTCCTCACGAGGCTGAGGTTCGGGGTTCGAAGCCAGCCCAGGCAGGAGCAGCTGTGAGACTGTAATAGTGTCCAAGAATCAATGGGCAATGAGACTCAAACACCACTGATAAGACTAGACTCTTAGTTAACTACCAAAAAAGCCGGAAGTAGAGCTGTAGTTCCAGGGGTGAAAGTGCTAGCACTGAGCAAAAAAAAAAAAAAAAAAAAAGCTCAGAGAAGCCAGGCCACGGTGGCTCACCCCTGTAACCCTACTACTCAGGAGGCTGAGATCTGCCAGCCCAGGCAGGAAAGTCCATGAGACTCTTTTTTTTTTTTTTTTTTTTGGGTCCGGTCGTGGGGCCTGAACTCTGGGCCTGGGCGCTGTCCCTCAGCCCTTCAGCTCAAGGCTAGTGCTCTACCACTTGAGCCACAGCGTCACTTCCGGCTTTTTTCTTTTTGCTTATGTGGTGCTGAGGAATCGAACCCAGGGCCTCATGCATGCAAGGCAAGCGCTCTACCACTGAGCCACCTTCCCAGCCCTCCATGAGACTCTTATCTCCAATGAACCACCAGAAAACCAGAAGTGGTAGAGTGTTAGCCTTCAGCTGAAGGGCTGAGGGACAGCGCCCAGGTCAAGTTCAAGCCCCACAACCGACCCCACCCCCCAAAACAAAAACAACAACAACAAAAGAAACCGGCTCAGAGACAGTGCTCAGGCCCTGAATTTAACCCCAGACTGGCACAATTAGGCACAGACACAGACACGGTAAGGGGACAGCTCCCAGGTCCTGAGTTAAAAGCACATACACACACAAACGAAACACAGACCTACTGTCTAGGTATACTTAGGCTTAATGGGGACACCTGTGGTGAAATATGTACACAGAAATAAATATTCAAGATGTGGTAAATGCTGGGTGCTGGTGCCTCATGCCTGTATTAGCCCTCAGGAGGCTGATATCTGAAGATCATAGTTCAAAGCCAGCGCAGGCAGAAAAGTCCATGAGACTTATATCCAATTAATCACCAGAAAACCAGAAGTGGTGCTCAGACTCAAAGTGGTAGAGTGGTAACCTTCAGCAAAAGAGGTCAGGGATAGGGTCTAGTCTCTGAGTTCAAGTCCCATAACTAACAGAAAAAATAAATAAATAAAAAAGGGGTGGGGCTGGGAATGTAACTCAGTGGTAGAGTGCTTGCCTAGCATACATGAAGCCCTGGGTTCCATTCTTTGGTACCACTTAAACAGAAAAAGCTAGAAGTGGTGCTGTGGCTCAAGTGGTAGCATGCTAGCCTTGAGCAAAAGCTCAGGGATGGGCTGGGAATGTGGCTTAGTGGTAGAGTGATTGCCTAGCATGCATGAAGCCCTGGGTTTGATTCTTCGGTACCACATAAATGAAAAAGCCAGAAGTGATGCTGTGGCTCAAGTGCTAGAGCTCTAGCCTTGAACACAGAGAGGCTCAAGGACAGTGCCCAAGCCCTGAATTTGAGCTCCAGGACCATCAAAAAAAAAAAAGTGATAGATGAAGGCATTATTATCTGTTGATATGTATAGCTTAGACTATCAGAGGTTTGGGCATATACTTTGCAGCAAGATCCCTTTCCTTAGGGGTAGCAACTACATTTTATGTTTTGATAATTCCTAGGTGTTTTGTTTTTGTATGTATCACAAGTGCCCTGCCCAAAAGTCCCATTTTATTCTCTGTCCTCTGGCCAAGTCCCTTTGATGACAGACAGTCCTGCAGGGTCACATGGAGTCTGAGTTCATGTGTCAGCAGAATCTCAGACAGTTACCCTGCATCATGGGCCTTTGATGCCCTGGAAGGACGATGTTCAATCAGAATGCTGGTGCCTACAGGAGGGGGCTTTGTTCTTGCCCCTCTGACTCGGAAGCACAAGACTGCCAGTCCTCTGAGTATTCCCTTCTGCTTCTGGGATGTACTGTTTGGAAACTGAAGTGATTTCATAAAGGATTATTACCTGGTTCCTTCTGTTTCAAGGCTCACCTCTGTGCCTCTGTGAAGCCTTTGTCCTCAGCAGCCCTGGCTGCATTCTGTGCACTTGCTGTTAGAGAGTCGATTCATTCCATGAATTGCACCAAGGACCTACTGGGACACTGAGGATGGAGACACCTCCTCTGCCTTCTAGAAGGGCCTGGTGTGGTGAAAGAAACAACCTGAGAGTTCCAGGGGACTGTGGCAGAGGCTACACGGTAGCACACCAAGCATTACACAGCATCCTGAAATATTACTATCTTTAATATTTCTATCTAAAATATGAGACTGTGATATAAAACCAGAATATACCTATTATAGAATAGGTCCCAGCTTGTTTTTATTTTTTGTTGGTCATGGGGCTTGAACTCAGAATTTGAACTCAGAGCTTAGGCGCTGTCCCTGAGGCTAGCACTCTGCCACTTGGAGCTACAGCTCCACTTCTGGTTTTAGGGAAGTTAATTGGAGATAAGAGTCTCACAGACCTTTCTGCCTTGGCTGGTTTCAAACCAAGTATCCTTAGGTCCTAGCCTCCTGAGTAGCTAGGATTATAGGTGTGAGTCACTAGGGCTTGGCAGGCATTTTTGTTTTGTTTTGTTTTTTGTTTTTTTTGTTTTTTAAAAGCTGAAATAGATGTCCAAGGTTCAGAAAACAGGTCTGGACATGTAATAGATGTTCAATGAACACTTGTCTCTTTTCTCTCTCTCTTTTTTTTTGCCAGTCATTGGGCTTGAACTCAGGGCCTAGGCACTGTTCCTGAGCTTCATTTGCTCAAGGCTAGCATTCCACCACTTGAGCCACAGTGCCACTTCCGGCTTTTTCTGTTTATGTGGTTCTCAGGAATCAAACCCAGGGCTTCATGCATGCGAGGCACTCTACCACTAGCCCACATTCCCAGTCCCCCACTTGTCTCTTTTCTGCTACCCTCTATCTAGAGCAACTCCTGCAGATATTGCTGCTAGTTTCTTTTCTTTTCTTTTTTTGAAGATTTTTTTTTTTTTGGATCCGGTTGTGGGCCTGAACTCTGGGCCTGGGCACTGTCCCTCAGCTCTTCAGCTCAAGGCCACTGCTCTACCACTTGAGCCACAGCGCCACTTCCGGCTTTTTTCATTTTGCTTGTGTGGTGCTGAGGAATCAACCCAGGGCCTCATGCATGCAAGGCAAGCGCTCTACCTCTGAGCCACCTTCCCAGCCCATTGCTGCACTTTCTAATTGTACCCCTAGTCTTTCCCAGTCTGCCATTTAACGAGCTACCTTCAGCAGGACACCCTGATTGCTTATTCTCCCTCTGCTACCAGGAAGCCACTGTTGCTGCGATTGCCTGCGTTATGCCAGAAGAACCTCATGTCTCTGTTAATGGCTGTTCAGCCTTTGCTGCCTGCAAGTGGGCTTCTCTCTGTGCTGCATATTGCACAGCAGGAAGTCGCCTCTGGCCCAGATGCCTGGCTCCAGGCCCTAGGGATACTGCTGCAAAGAGATCTGGGTGACAGGGACCCTGTTGAGGGAGTCTCTCCACTGCCCCAAACTTGCCAGAGGCAGCTCCGCGGCCTGTGCAGGCAGCTGGGCCAGGGGGGCAGGAGGCTGAGGTCGCCTCAGGCTCCAAACACTGAAGAGGACAAAGAAGAGGAGGATAGCAGGGACTCTCAGGCTCCAAACCCAGAGCAGGAAGAGGAAACAGTTACCGGGGACTCCCAGCAGCAGGAGAAACGCAGGAAGGAGCCAGAAGATACCAGTCCTGGCAGCCAGAGGGCCCCCAAGAGGATCCGGAGTTGGGAAAGGGAAGAAGAGAAAGACCATAAGGAGGAGCACGAGGCCTTGGCCTCCCCGTCTGAGGAAGGAGGTGCACTACCCACGAAGCAGCAGCTTGTTGGGGGAACTGAGGCCAGTGAGGCTGGCCAGAGGCCGGAGGCCAAGAACCCAGCTGAAAGAGTGGAGCTGCCTAAAGCTCTCCAGGTAGTGTGGCAGGGAAGTGGGTTTACAGGGCACTGCTGGCCAGAACTGGAGGGTTCCACGTGAGCCGCTGTTTCTCAGCCCCAACATCTCTCAAGTCCATGGAGCTGGAGGAGGGAGGAGGGAGAACACAGTTGAGGTAATGTGGCTTCCACTCTACAGACTGAAGAGTTGTGATCTCTAACATGGCGTTGTTAAAGGGGCCAGCCCTGCTGCCCTAGCCCCTGAGGGTGAGGCCGGGGCCAGCCTGCCCTGCCAGCCCAAGGCCTGCAAGTCCCTATACTGTTAGGGTTGGAAGCAGAGAAGACATAGAAGGAGGCAGGCTAGGCCTCGGGCAGCACTGCAGGGTTAAGCTGGCAGTGACAGGACTCTCCTCCACAGGACCAGGTGACCAGGCTGCAGAAGCTGTTGAAGACCTTTGAGGAGGTAACTGGCCCTACTCTGCTCACCATTGCCTTCCCAGCGGCTGCCTACTCTTCAGCCGGGGCCAGGGAAGCCCCCGCTCAAAGAGGCACCATGGGTCGGGGAGCAGGGCTAGAAAGAAGGTGGAGAGTTTTCCTTGGCCTTGGGGCAGACATCTAACCCCAGGGAGGGCCCTCTCCTATTCCTCCAAGAACGACTCCCTGACAACCGGTGGTGGTTGTGAGGGGCTCTCAGCTGTAATATGGGGTTTGTCTCCCCAGGGGCTGGAGGTGTTGGAGGACAGCTCTCCAGTTGAACTGCAGTTTCTGCATGAGTGTAGCCCCAGCCAGGTAAGAACAGATGCCGATGACCTGGCCCCCAGGTTGCACTTGTCACAACCTCCTGCAGGGCTCGTGGGAGGGGATTTTGTTTTCTGCCTGTGGGCAGGTAAGGCCTGAGTGGGGTTTCTTTTAGGTCTTGGTTCCTCCCGTTGGAGCAGCTCTCTGGCTCTACCTTGCCTTAGAGTTGTCTCCTGTGGTTCCCCTCTTGTCCTCCCCCCACCACCCCCACCATGGGCAGATGGAGTTGCTGTGTGTCCAGCTGCAGCTCCCACAGCTCTCAGATGCAGGCCTCCTGCAGTTCTGCACCCAGCTGCTGGCCCTCTCACCACACCTGAGCATCGGAAATGCCACTGTGCTGGCCAGGAGCCTCTTTCTTGGACGGGTAGGTGCGGGAGTGCTGAGCCCTCAGGAGGGGGGTATGCGGGGAGAGGGCACCTTTGGCCTTGCAGGATTCTGGTTTGCCTGGGACAAGGGGAGGGCCTTTGCTCAACTGGCAGGCCTTGGGTTCCCCAGCCAAAGCCACGTGCCATCCAGCTCTTCCCTCTTGGGCCCTAGAGCCCTTCCAGGAGCTGGTGAAGGTTTGGGAGCTGCAGGGAGAGCCATGGGTCTTTTCCATGGATGGCCCCTGCAAGTGGGCTACAAGAGAAATTCATGCGTGACAGCATTATTGAGAAGAAGAGGAACCTGCAAATGTTTCCTCCCCACTGGCCACAGGTCCTCTCCCTGACTTCCTCCGCTTCTTGGCTGCTCAGAACATCCCTCACCTCCTTCTGTGCCAAGTATACCTACCCGGTCTGCAGAGCCCTCTTGGACCCCGTGCTCCAGGCCTCTGGCATAGGTATTCTAGAGTCATCCCCAGGCCTGGTAACCGTCTTCTTTATTCCCAGCATCCTCCACCCCACAGTGGCCCTGGTAGGAACTGGGTATTTGCTGATTAATTCGCTCACACCTGTAATCCTAGTTACTCAGGAGGCTGAGATCTGAGGATCAGGGTTCAAAGCCAGCTCGGATAGGAAAGTCCATGAGACTCTTATCTTCAACTAACCACCAGAAAAATGGAAGTGGTGCTGTGGCTCAAGTGGTAGAGCGCTCGCCTTGAGCTGAAGAGCTGAGGGACAGCGCCCAGGCCCAGAATTCAAGACCCATGACCCACCAAAAAAAGAAAAAAAGTTATTTTTTGTGGGCTGGGAATGTGGCTTAGCAATAGAGTGCTTGCCTAGCATGCATGAAACCCTGGATTCAATTCCCCAGTACCACATAAACAGAAAAAGCCAGAAGTAGAGCTGTAGCTCAAGTGGTAGAGTGCTAACCTTGAGCAAAAGAAGCTCAGGGACAGCACCCAGGCCCTGAGGTCTAGCCCTAGGACTGGCAAATAATAATAATAAAGATATCTCCTGCTTCTCTAACAGTGCTCCTGTAATAAGCAGGACCTCCTGTTCCCCCAGTCCCTTTCCTGCCTGGCCCCCAGCCCCCTCCCCTGTTCTCTCTGTCCCAGGTCCAGCTCAGACAGAGTTACTGTGTTCTCTGATGAAGGAGGAGTCTCTCGAGACAGACATGCAGCTCCTGATGCTCAGGTGAGTGTGCTGGCCTCCATGCTGCCTACCCCCCCCCACACCTTCTCCCAGGCCAGGCCTGCCCCTGGCACCCAGGTGGGAGCCAGGTATGCACCAGACTCTGTCTCTAAAGATAGGCTTTGGTACGAGTGCTGTAGCTGAGTGGTAAGAGCCCTTGCCTAACAGGGCAAAACAAACAACTGAAGAGAAATCAGGCCGTGCCAGTGTCCCTCTCCCTGGGCTCTGAACCTGCCTGTGCTTTCCACCTGGGTGCTATTGGATTTGAGTATTAAAATTGAGGAGTTACAGTACACATGTGAAGGAATGAGTAAAACCCCAAGGAACAGGTACGAAATATGCGGTGACAACCTTGAGAAGGACACAGCTTCACAGATCATCTCAGCTCCCACTCAGGCAGCACTTCGTGTGTTTACAGTCTCAGTGCTGCCACCGCCTTACAGATGGAAGAACTACACAGGAATTAGCGAGTTGGCCAAGCCAGTACCCAGCCAAAGCAAGTGAAAAGCCTGGGGTCAAACCTAGGTCTGTAACTCCCCTCACCCCCACCAAGAAGCCACACTCCACACTGCGGTCTGGGCCTTTTGGAGCAAGGGAGGTTGCAGGGGGATGGAAAGCTCACTGGTGTGGATAGCGGCAGTTCCTGCAGGAACTGCTCACCAGCTCTGCGAGTCTCGTGTCTAACATCAGCACCTGTTCCCGAGTCTCCTTCCCTTGATTTTCAGGGTACACTCAATTCCTGATGGTTTCTCCAGGGATCTTTGTGCCGTGCGCATCATAGCTCAGCGCCTACTCCCGGCACGTGGGCAGAATGCAGCAATGGCTCCTAGAGCTGCCACCTGCTCTGGTGATCCTCTGTTGGCCAGGCCTTGCCCTTGGGGAGTAGCAGCCTGGCCTCCCAGGCTTGGGTGGAGGTCGGGCTCTCCTCAGCAGGTCGCCTCTGTGCAGGCACATGCTGGAGCTGTCCTGGAGGGATGAGACGTTCGTGGTGCTGCAGGCGCTCCTGGAACGGCAGGTGAGCTGGCTGCTGCCCTGGCCTGTCTGTGGGGAGCACGGGCTGCTGGGATCCGAGTCAGGTAATGGAGGGCTGGGGGACGGCTGTCCCCAGGGGCTGTGACAGTGGGCGAGCTCTGCCAACATGCAAGCTGGGAGTGGAGAGCTGGCCGTGTGGTCCATGTGGCACTGCCTCTGACTAGCTGCAAGGCCTAGAGCAGGCTTTTCTGAGGTGTCTGTGTAAGCTCGATGGTATTTTTGGATAGATAATAGATTCCTATGTTCAAAGCTTTAAAAGCTCAAAGGATATGATAGCCACCATTTTCTGAGACCTACACCTTTCACCTGATGCCCTTCACCCTCTCACTACCTTCAGTGGTAGGTTTTGTTGTTGTTGTTGTTGTTGGTCATGGAGCTTGAACTTTGGGCCCAGGGGCTGTCCTTCAGCTCTTCAGCTCAAGGCTAGCACTCTTCCACTTGAGCCACAGTGCTACTTCAGGTTTTCTGGTGGTTATGGTGGAGATAAGAGTCTCATGGCCTTTCCTGCCTGGGCTGGCTTTGAACCATGATCCTCAGATCTCAGCCTCTTGAGCAGCTAGGATTACAGGTATGAGCCACCACGCCTGGCAGTGGTAGGTATTTTGAAACTCATTTTACAGGTGTGGAAACTGAGACTTACCTTGATGTATTAGCTTTCTGTCATCGTGACAAAATATTTGAAGATAAAAAAAACTTTGAGGGCTGGGAAGGTGGCTCAGTGGTAGAGCGCTTGCCTTGCATGCCTGAGGCCCTGGGTTCCATTCCTCAGCACCCATAAGCAAAAAGAAAAAAGCTGGAAGTGGCACTGTGGCTCAAGTGGTAGAGTGCTAGCCTTGAGCTGAAGAGCTGAGGGACAGCGCCCAGGCCCAGAGTTCAGGCCCCAGGACCGAACCCAAAAAAAAAAATTTTTTTTGAAAGAGTGTGGTGTGGAAGTGGAGGTGTGGCTCGAGTATAGACCAGCCCTGGGAGAGGGGACATGACACGCAAAAGGCCCTGAGTTCCAGCCCACTACTGAAACAAAAAAAATCAAACAAAAAACTATTTGCTGGGTATGAGTGACTCAGGCCTGTAATTCTAGCTGTTCTGGAGATTTATCTGAGAATTGAAGGTCAGAGCCCGCCTGGACAGTCAAAGCCAACGCTTATCCACCAAAAATTAGGAAGTAGAGATATGGTTCAAATGGTAGAGTTCCAGCTTTGAACAGAATAAGAGCTCAAGACCCTGAGTTCAAGCCCCAGTTCCAGCATACACTACCAAAAAACCTTGAAAGGAAGGCAGGTGTGGTGGAGCATTCCTGTAATTCCAGCACTTGGCGGGAGGTAGAGGTAGGAAGATGGTGAGTTCCAGGCTAGCCTGGGCTACATGAACTCCACAGTGAGACCCCTTCTCAAAAACAAAACAAAGTGAAAAGACCCTAATGGAAGGAAAGACTTCCTTTGGCTCACGTTTCTGAGGATTCAGGCCGTGGCTGGCATGGTTGCTTTGGGGCCTGTGGTGAGGCTCTGAGTGTGCCATGGTAGTGTGAGTGTGCCGTGGTAGTGCAGGTGTGTGCAGAGCCGCTGCTCAACCTGCAGCCCAGGAAGTGAAGAGCGGGCCTTCAAGACACCCCTCCCCCTGAGCACCCAGCTTCCTTCCGCACAAGACCCGAACTAGAGCTGCCACCAGGTACTGGAGCTGGGGTTGGATCAGGGCTGGCTCTGTGACCACGCCACCTCCCTGTGTGCAGGTAGAGGTGTCCCCGGAACCGTTCGGTGTCCTCATGCAGAGGCTCTGTGAAGAGGGGCTGGTAGCCACCGCCTCAGTGGCCTACGCCAAGCTCGTGCTCACTGTGCTGACCAACTACCAGGCCCATGTGAGTGCTGCTGGGGCCTGGAGGCTGGGCTGGCTGGCAGGGCTGCTCGGGGCTGGCCACCAGGGTGTGCCCGGGGAGGGGGGCTGCTTAGGGGCCAGTACTAAGTCCTTCCATGTGGGGACTTGTAGTGTACTCCATGGGTCAGGCCGTGAAAGAAGAGACAGGAGAGCTATCATTAGCTCCTTTTCTGACTGCTTTACTTTGGATGGTTTCACTGTGTTGCTCAGGCTGGTCTCCAACCCTTGGGCTCAACTGGTCCTTTCTATCTTAAAACTTATTTTTTGGTATTTGAGATTGCGCTGGGGCCTTGCCCATGCTAGACAAGAATTCTATCCCTGGGGTCCCACCCCAGCCCTCAGCTGCTCCTCTTGCCTTGGTTCCTGGGACTACAGGTGTGCCATGGTGTCCTACTGGACTCCATTTTATGGATGAGAGTACTGAGCCTCAGTGTTTAAAATAGTAATACAGGCTGGGAATGTGGCTTAGTGAGAGTGCTTGCCTACCCTGCATGAAACCCTGTGTTCCATGCCTCGTTCCACATAAACAGAAAAAAGCCCAAGTGGTGCTGTGGCTCAAGTAATAGAGTGCTAGCCTTGAGCAAAAGAAACCCTAGGACAGTGCCCAGGCCCTGAGTTCAAGCCCAGAACTGGACAAAAAAAAAAATACTAATACTAAATTTTTTTGTTCATAAATACACACACACACACACACACACACACACACACACACACACACACACACGTTTATTTAGTTTTGGTCCGTTGTAGGGCCTGAACTCTGGGCCTGGGCTCTGTCCCTCAGCTCTTCAGCTCAAGGCTAGTGCTCTACCACTTGACCTACAGCGCCACTTCCAGCTTTTTTCTGCTTATGTGGTGCTTTATGCATGCTAGGCAAGCACTCTACCATTAAGCCACCTTCCCAGCCCCTGTTCATATACTTTTAAATGCCAATACCACTAGATTGATCCCCTTCCAGTCAGCCCTTTTCCTATTCTAAAGGAAAAAGTGGTAATACTTGGGATTCCAGCTGAGCAAAAATTTGACTGTCTGGGCTGGGAATGTGGCTTAGTGGTAGAGTGCTTGCCTAGCATGCATGAAACATTGGGTTCAATTCCTCAGTATCATATATACAGAAAAAGCCAGAAGTAGTTCTGTGGTTCAAGTTGTAAAGTATTAGCCTTGAGCAAAAGAAGCTCAGGGACAGTGCCCAAACCCTGAGTTCAAGCCCAGGACTGGCCAAAAAAAAAAAAAAAGATGATCTGAAGTAACCTTGCATCAAACCACAATATTAACAAACAGCTACTAGCCGGGCGCTGGTGGCTCATGCCTGTAATCCTAACTACTCAGGAGGCTGAGATCTGAGGATCGAGGTTCAAAGCCAGCCCAGGCAGGAAACTCTGTGAGACTCTTATCTCCAATTAACCACTGGAAAACTGGAAGTGGTGCTGTGGCTCAAGCGGTAGAGCGCTTGCCTTGAGCTGAAGAGCGCAGGAACAGCGTTCAAGCCTCATGACCGACAAAAATAAATAAATAAATAAACAAACAGATACTAATGAGAAAAAGAGACTTGAAAGTTTTGGGTGAAGCTGGGCGCTGGTGGCTCACGCCTGTAATCCTAGCTATTCAGGAGGCTGAGATCTGAGGATCGCGGTTCAAAGCCAGCCCGGGCAGGAGAGACCGTGAGACTCCTATCTCCAATAAACCACCAGAAAACCGGAAGTGGCGCTGTAGCTCAAGTGGTAGAGCGCTCGCCTTGTGCTGAAGAGCTGAGGGACAGCGCCCAGGCCCAGAGTTCAAGCCCCTCGACCGACAAAAAAAAAAAAAAAAGTTTTGGGTGAGGCCCACAGTCACATTACTGAGACTGGCAGCTCCTCACTTAAGAGCTTAAGTTGTATCTTTAGCCTTTATGGTGTTTTTTTTTTTGGGGGGGGTCCAGTCGTGGGGCCTGAACTCTGGGCCTGGGCACTGTCCCTCAGCTCTTCAGCTCAAGGCTAGCACTCTACCACTTGAGCCACAGCGCCACTTCCAGCTTTTTTCTTTTTGCTTATGTGGTGCTGAGGAGTTGAACCCAGGGCCTCAGGCATGCAAGGCAAGCACTCTACCACTGAGCCACCTTCCCAGCCCTAGCCTTTATCTTGAAGACCAGCATCCTTGGCTGTTGGCATTTTACCTTTCTCTTGAGCATCACAGGCTTGTTTGTGGGTGAAATTCACTGTAGATCAGAAGAGTGGACACTACACGTTTTCAGAGTTTCTGGGCCCTCTGAGATCCCGTAGGCCCCGGGAGGATCCCCCTCCCCCTATTCTGTGTGATCCACTGGAATCTCCCAGGAAGTGCTAGCTGGACAGTGACTTGGTCAGCTGCAGACCAGATGTGTTTGTCACCTGTGGAGAATGACGACACAAGAGCCGAGAGTCAGGAGTTGTGGGAACAAGTCAGCAAAGAGACAGTTTGGTCCACAAGGACGGTGGCAGTACACAACTGACATGGGGGCTGTAGTGCACGTAACGTGTACTAGCTGTCAGCTAGAGGCGATGTAAGCAGCTAGTCACTGCGCAGCTGCTATCTGGTTCCAGGTCCATACGGTGAAATGATGAGGTTTGATTACTTCGGAACCTTCTCCTGTCCTCCTTCCCCAGTCCTACATCCTAGTTTCCTCTCCTTCCGAAGCAGAGGAGAGGGCAAGGCCCAGCTGTTAGAGCTCTGACCTGACTCTTCCTTCCCTCAGATCACAGAGACCCACAGACTGGGCCTGGCTGTGGCCCTGGAGTCTAATACCACCTTCCTGAGGAAGTCCCTGCAGGCCTCCTTGAAACATCTGGCCCGCCGAGCCTCTACCGAAGGACCGCCCTCCTGAGCTGCACTAGCACCCGCTCTCAACACCTGGCCTGCCCCTCGCCTCAGCAGGAAAGCAGGGCCTGGCCATCCCAGGGGCCCGCTGCCCCCTGATCTAGGCTGCACGGAGGTCATCTGGGCCCTGCAGCCCACACGGGGGCTCCTGGCCCCTGACAGGATCAATAGTATTTAATAAAGAGCAAGATTTGCACAGGGCTCTCATGCATTCCTCATGCTTTTTATTATTGTTATTACTGTTTTTTTTTTTTGTCAGTCGTGTGGCCTGAACTCTGGGCCTGGGCCCTGTCCTCAGCTCTTCAGCTCAAGTCTAGCACTCTACCACTTGAGCCATAGCTCCACTTCCGGTTTTTATTGCTTATGTGGTGCTGAGGAGTCAAACCCAGGGCCCCATGCATGCAATGCAAGCACTCTACCACTGAGTCACCTTCCCAACCCTTTTTTTTTTTTTGCTGGGCCTGGGACTTGCACTCTGGACCTAGGCACTGTACCTAAACGTTTTTGCTCAAGGCTACCATTCTACCACTTGAGCCACAGCTCCACATTGGCTTTTCCTGTGATAATAATTGGAGATAAAGAGTCCTATAGATTGGGAATGTGGCTTAGTGGTAGAGTGTTTGCCTAACATGTATGAAGCCCTGGTTTCAATTCCTCAGTACCATATAAACAGAAAAAGCTGTGGCTTAACTGGTAGAGCACTAGCCTTGAACAAAAGAAGCTCAAGGACAATGCCCAGGCCCTGAGTTCTAGTCCCAGGACTGACAAAAAAAAAGTCTCACAGACTTTTCTAGCTTTGAACCATGATCCTCAGATCTCAGCCTCCTGAGTAGCTAAGAATTACAGGCGTGAGCCCCCAGTACCTAGCTCCATGCATTTCTGTAGTCTCAGGAGGTTGAGGTGGGGAAGATAGCAATTTCAAGACTAGTCTGGACAACATAGTGAGTCCTTGTCTCAAAAAAAAGTTCAGTGCTATCTTATTAGAAGCAGTGCTAGACCAGTCGTGGGATCTGAACTCTGGGCCTGGGCACTGTCCCTCAGCTCTTCAGCTCAAGGCTAGTGCTCTACCAGTGCTACTTCCAGCTTTTCTTTCTTATGTGGGGCTGAGCAATTGAACCCAGGGCCTCCTGCATGCAAGGCAAACACTCTATTACTGAGCCACCTTCTCAGTCCTCGGAGAGACTCTTATCTCCAATAAACCACTCACAAAACCTGAAGTGGTGCTATAGCTCAAGTGATAGCACACTCACCTTGAGCTGAAGAGCTGAGGGACAGCGCCCAGGCCTAGTTTCAAGTCCCAGAACTGACCAAAAAAAAAAGCAGTGCTTGACTCCCTGCTGTCTCTGGGTGTTTGTTAATGTTCCCTGTTTATCCTCACACAATGTCATCTTTTAATGGTAAGAAAGTTGCAGGCTTGGGCTGGGAAGGTAGCTCAGTGGTAGAGTGCTTGCCTTGCATGCATGAGACCCTGGGTTCGATTCCTCAGCACCACATAAGCAAAAAGAAAAAAGCTGGAAGTGGTGCTGTCGCTCAAGTGGTAGAGCGCTAGCCTTGAGCTGAAGAGCTGAGGGACAGCGCCCAGACCCAGAGTTCAGGCCCCACGACCGAACCCAAAAAAAAAAATAAAATTCATGTATTCACATTCTGCCCAGTTGTGTGTGATCCCACCCCTTGAGAGAGAGCTGCCTATTTTGGCAGTACCAGGGTTTGCACTTAGAGCCTCGTGCTTGCTAGGTAAGCTCTACCACTAAGCTACTCCCTAGTCCCACATAAATATTTGCGGAGGAAACTGAGTTACTGTAGGCTAAGAAGAGGATGGGACCCAAAGGGCAGAAAAGTTTGTGGTGCTGTGCACCTGTTTTACTAGCTGGTATTCCCATAGCACTTACCCCAGTGCCTTGTTCACTGGAAACACCCAACACTTGTTCAAATGAAACCCTGATTCCGTTTCAACTAACTAGTGTCAATTTAAAAAAAAAAAAAATCAAAAGCTGAGTCCTGGTGGCTTATACCTATAATCCTAGCTACTCAAAAGGCTCAGATCTGAGGATGGAGGTTTGGAGCCAGTCCAACCAGGAAAGTCCATGAGACTCCTAGCTACAATTGGCTGGCAAAAGGTAGAAGTGGAGGTGAGCCTCAAGTGGCCAATGCCAGCTGTGAGCACGCTGAGAGTAAGTCCGTGGGTTCAAACCCAGTACTAGTATGAAAAGATGGCTTGAGCCCTAGTTGATCTGGAGGGCAGCAGGAAGTGGGCAGAGATTTGAGGGACAAACATGGGTTTTGACAGTGATCTGTATGATACTACAGAATCTCTAGCCCTGGGCCTGTTACAGGGCCCCAAATCTCTGATCCTGTCTGGATCCTTCCCATGGTACCTGTTCAGCATATATATGCACATCAGCCAATCCATGGGCCAGATCTAGCACAAGCTTCCAGAGAAAAGGTGTCAGTGGCTCATGCCTGTAATCCTAGCTATGCAGGAGGCTGAGATCTGAGGATCATGGTTCCAAGCCAGCCCAGGTGGAAGGTCCATGAGACTATCTCCAATAAACCACCAGAAAAGCGAAGTGGTGCTATGGCTTAAGTGGTAGAGTACTTGCCTTGAGCTGAAGAGCTGAGCTCAGGACAGCACCCAGGCCCAGAGTTCAAGACCCATGACTGACAAAAAAAAAAAAGAAAGAGAGCTGGGAAGGTGGCTCAGTGGTAGAGTGCATGCCTTGCATGCCAGAGGCCCTGGGTTCCATTCCTCAGCACCACATAAGCAAAAAGAAAAAAGCTGGAAGTGGTGCTGTGGCTCAAGTGGTAGAGTGCTAGCCTTGAGCTGAAGAGCTGAGGGACAGCGCCCAGGCCCAAAGTTCAGGCCCCATGACCGGACCCAAAAAAACAAAGAAAAAGAAAGAAAGAAATCAAGCAAGCAAGAAAGAAAGGAAGGAAGGAAGAAAGAAAGGAAGGAAGGGGCAACCACAAGGATCTCTGAGGAGAGCCCTGCTAATACCTTTCTCTTTGCCAAGTTCTGGGTGAGACCCCTTCACCTCTCTAGATAGGCAACACCTACCCTGACCCCTGACCTTCTTTTGAGACATAGGGAGACAACTTCATTAGGTGGAGAGAAGGTGGTGAAGAACGAGGACTTTAGTGGTAAAGGCAGCAAATACAGAAAAAAATGGACATTGATCCAATGTCTTATTGGGGCTGCCTCACGGGTGGCCCAGAGCACAGGAGGGCTGCAGCCTGCCAGGCGTCTTCTCACAGTCGAGGTCACAACAGGCTTTTCAGTTCTGCACATCTCAAGAACAGAGATCATGGGCTGGGAAGGTGGCTAGGTAAGCCCCACAACCAGACCCCCCCCCAAAAAAAAAGAACAGAGATCATTATTTCCCCCAGGGGCTAGTCTTGATCACTGACTGGTTGTGGCCCGCATTGAGTTCCTAGCATACTACATGTGGACGGGCTTAGAAGTGGTAGCTGCCCTGAGGCCCTCTTGCTGATCACCCTACTCAAGGCAGCAAAAGAAAACAAACTTCATAAGCCTGGCACTGGTGACTCATGTCTGTAATCCTAGCTATTTGGGAGGCTAAGATCTGAGAACTGAGGTTTCAGGTAAGCTGGGACAGGAAAGACTCAGACTCGCATCTCCAATTAACCACCCAAAATTTGGAAGTGGAGGGCTGGGAATGTGGCTTAATGGTAGAGTGCTTGTCTAGCATGCATGAAAGCCTGGGTTTGATTCCTCAGTACACATACACAGAAAAAAAACCAGAAGTGGTGCTGTGGCTCAAGTGGTAGAGCAGTAGCCTTGAGCACAAAGCAGCTCAGGGACAGCGCCCAGGCCCTGCATTCAAGCCCCAGGACTGGCAAATAAATAAAAAATAAATATCTAGAAGTGGAGGGCTGGGAAGGTGGCTCAGTGGTAGAGCGCTTGCCTTGCATGTATGAGGCTCTGGGGTTCAATTCCTCAGCACCACATCAGCAGAAAAAAAGTCAGAAGTGGCACTGTGGCTCAAGTGGTAGAGCGCTAGCCTTGAGCTGAGGAGCTGAGGTATAGCACCCAGGCCCAGAGTTCAAGCCCTACAACTGACAAAAAAAAAATATAGAAGTGGAGTTGTGGCTCAAGTGGCAGAGTACTAGCCTTGAGCAGAAAAGCTCAGAGATGGCAAGCAGAGCTTGAGTTCAAGCCCCAGGACCAAACTTCACATGTTCAAAAAGAATTGTAGCTGATTGTACCTGATGCATATAACTTTAATCCCTCTGTATATCAACTGTACAAATACAGTAAGTATTTTAAAACCATCTGATCGTTGTGGAAGGCAGGGCAGTTGAAGGGCTGCAGGAAGCCTGGCCTCACCTCAGATCTAGTTCCTAGGCTGAGTCTGGCAGCAGCTGGGAACTGGGACCCCGCCTGCCACGCTACCGGAACGTCACACGACTGCGCCCTCCAGTGGCTGCACGCGGCAGTGCTCAAGGCCGAATGACCAAATAGCGCTTCCGACAGACAATTCTCGCGAGAATCGAGTCCGTATTTGAGCGCCTGCGCACGCCGTACCAGCCTCTCTCCTGATTGCTTGTGTGCCGCGGATCCTGCAGCCATGAGGTATGTAGCAGTCGGCGTTCGCTATCCGCGCCCATCCGTGCCTCTGAGTGCCCATCGGGGCGCAGGAATCCTCCAGTCTGCGTCGGGGGCTCCTGACGCTGGCTCTGGGCAGCCTGCGAGCCACTTTTTGGCCCGTCTGGTCGCGGGCCCCGGCCGCCCGTCATGGTTCCGGCGGTGGGGCGGCGGGCCGGGCTGAGCGCCCTCGCTTTTCCCCCGCAGCAGCAAAGTCTCTCGCGACACCCTGTACGAGGCGGTGCGGGAAGTCCTGCACGGGAACCAGCGCAAGCGCAGGAAGTAAGCGGGGCTCCGGGGAGGGCCGGGCCGGCGGGGGGCGCGGGTCCGGGGAGGGCCGGGCCGGCGGGGGGCGCGGGTCCGGGGAGGGCCAGGCCGGCGGGGGGCGCGGGTCCGGGGAGGGCCAGGCCGGCGGGGGGCGCGGGTCCGGGGCGGGCCGCGGGTCCGGGGAGGGCCAGGCCGGCGGGGGGGCGCGGGTCCGGGGCGCGCCAGGCCGGCGGGGGGCGCGGGTCCGGGGCGGGCCGGGCCGGCGGGGGGCGCGGGTCCGGGGCGGGCCAGGCCGGCGGGGGGCGCGGGTCCGGGGCCCGGCCGCGGCCTC